AACAAATTCTAAAAAAATGTGATAGTGATTATAATATAATTGTGACTATATAGAGGTATTTTTAATAATAAAAAAACGGGAATTTAAAATCATATGATTGTGTAGAGTTTGTGACTATATGGGAGGTGACTATATGGAGGGATGACTGTATATATATTGGATATCATGTTACATAAAAATATTTTATGATCTTAATCCCGATCTCGTTACTCTTTAGGTAAGCTTAAAAAAAGCTATTCTAATTAATAATATTTTAGATCTGCTTGCTACAATTTATGATCTACTTTTTTTAATCATTTCATTATAACTCATAATTAGCCCACAAATAAGCTGTTTAAGTTCGTGAAGATAACTATTAAATATATTAAACCACAAAAACTTATTTAATATTTAAATAATAGAAAATTTAGTTGAATTAAATCTGAATCAAACTTTAATTACAGAAGCTAGTATTTATTTAGATGGTATTGTATTCATAATACATATTCTTACAAATATTTAATACTATGTAAAAATTTTTTAATTATGCTTACCCATCTTAGTTTAAATAAAAAACATATCAAGAATATATTATGCAAATCTATATTTGCTAATAGGAACTTTATTTATCTAACATTGATATATGCACTTTACTGATAAAGAAGTAAAAGTAATACAATATTATTTTTATGCAGACTTATAATATTTATCCTGAACTTGGGTTTTAACTAGTAAGAAAGCATTGAACTTCTGAATCATTTATGTAAAAGTTTTGTAATGCAATATTTTTAAACAATAATTTATTCTTTAGATATTTCTTTATCTCAACTAGTTCACCTTAATGGAATTACTAAAGAAATTTGTAAGGACAAATATTATAATTTTTTTAAAAAGAAATCCATTCCATGTGTATCATATATTCCAAGAATTTTAGTGACAACCTTCCATTAATAAATTTTGTATACAAATATAGATTTATATAAATAAATATGAGTGTCGCCAAAAGAAAACAAATATAGACTATATTTAAATTGCCGGGTTTTCTTTTGGCGACACTCATATATATGCTGTATATAAAATCTAATATACTGTTTACTGTATACTGTATAATAAAATTAATAAATTTAGAATTGTTTCTTATACAAAAAATTTATTGAAGTTAGGCAATACAAAGTTAGTTATAACCTGCCGGGCCGACTTTTTTGTTCTAGTAGCCGGCCGGATTACTTGTCGGTCTATGATATCTTTATCGTTATAAACATAAGTTTTATAGATAATTTTAAGAAATAATAAAAGATACTGATACATGTTTAGCATTGAAGCGAGAAGTTTGTTTTTAAACATTAACATAGAATCGATTGATTTTCAGGATGAAACTTTTCTTCTGATTCCAACACGTTTTCTGTCCTTTACTCAGGATTAGTCTTGCCATCTTGATGTGCGGCCTCCGGATTTCTTTCCCTTGGTTCTAATTTCAACTTTTGAGCTGTAACATGTGCAATATCTTGAACCTTTTTCTTTACAGTCGTAAATGGGTGATTTGTAGCAGTTGTTCGATTTTCTTCGACCGAATGTTGCTGATTTGACAGTGACATAAAGTTGTCTTTGAGATCTTTATTATGTGAAGACATCGCTCTTCTTTTTTTTTTTTTTTTGAAAGTGGGAGAAATGCTGTTTGTATACTGCGAATCATTTAGATAATTGTCATGATATCATGATGAAGTCATCAGCCTATTACTACGTATCATCATGAACGATAACGGTAATGTCAGATGGTTCTAGCAAAACGTAACAGTATATATAATACATAATAAAACAAAATCTCATACGTATATATGGGCTAGGTGCTGAGAAAAGGGACCAAATTGACAAAAACAAACGATCTTTGGAAAATCAATTTTTATGTTGTAGATCTTATAATAAATCATAAGAAAATGCAAACTTTAAAGAGCAATATAGCAAAATTTTATTAATACAACTACTTTTGTGTCTTAAATAAGAAATGATCCTAATCTTATTCTAAATCAATTTATGTAAAAAAATAGCTTTTGAAAAAATTGTCAATTTGGTCCCTTTTTCCAGCACTTAGCCCATATATACTTTATATAAGCAATGACGCATCAATATATTAACATATATATATAATTATAATAATTTATAGAATTTAGAATGAAAAGAAAATTTAAGCAAACCATGACGAATTTGATAAATTAGTTTTCAAGAAAATTTTTAATTTATTTTCAATTCTTCAACATTCTCAGTACCTTCCGAACCACCACCACCTTTATTAATTATCTCGACATAATTTGAAGGAAACATTCCTTGTTCACCATTCCTTAAGCGACCTCGCCACCATTGAGATGGTTGGCCAAACGTATCGTTTTTACTCAGAATTGCAATGATATCACCGCGTTTTAAACTCAACTCCATTGAAGATTCACCTTTGAAATCATAAAGAGCTCTACAAAATTCAAGATTCTGAGCGAACCCAGGGGTTAGTTGTCCAGGAACAATCAGTTGAGAGTCAACTTGCTGTGGATTATCACTGATTTCTTGTCGCCGTCGTGATATAACTTGAATAAATTTATGCATTAAATATGGAACACCAAATACAGCAAGTACAAAGAAGATTAATGGACGACGAGAAAATTTTTTTCTTTCTTGAAATTGTTCAAATTGTATTGGATTCAATTCTTGAGGATCTACGGGTGGTCTCCTACCCGTTATCTTGTAAAATAAATGACGTATCCAACGTATCAGTGTGAAAATACTCAAAACTTGGCCTAAATAATTGCGTAAATTTCCAAATTGTTCGACAACACCGACCATGGCCATAAATGAAGAATGAGTGGCAAAATAAGTAGATTCTAACATTTGAGCAAACCCACCAAAAGCATTCACTATTGATTCAATCATTTGAAAGCCAGCAGCAGTATTTGCTTCCATCCTTTGAGTTAAGGATAAATCATCAGGGCCATTTGGACCATTTGGACCATTTGGACCCATCATCCCTCCATGCGCATTAAAACGATAGTAGGGACTGTAAGAAGCATAGGAGCCACCACCATAACCACCGTAAGTACCGTAACCATAACGGTTATATGGTGAATAAGAAGAAGAATATGAACTATAACGGTTGTAAGGAGATCCATAGGTACTTCCATAGGTACTACCATAAGTACCATAACTAGAGTATGGAGTATTATAACTCGAGGCATAAGAATTATAGCCGCCTTGAGAACACATTAATTCGTCAAAATAAGTAACACATTATTAAATAAGGACTTTAAATAAAAAAGTAATGAAGTAAAGATACCTCTTGTAAAATTCGAACTAGTTGTTGAAGGCCTTGCAGGAAGAGCAGGCGCAGTATCTACTGTGGAGCTTTGTGGAAAAGACGAATTTATTCCTGGTAATTGAGTGGTAGTTGTGGTTTTTGTAGCAGTAGCTTTCTCCCATGGCTTTGGTGGTGAAGGCATAATAGAATTCAGAAAGGAAAGAGAAAAAGAGGATGCAGTTTAAAATTGTAAAAAGCCAATAAAAAAAGGTTCACGCACGTGACTGTACACCATTAGTAATAATCTCGATCTGCGAATCAGTAGCAGACAGCCATATAACTGTATTAGTAAAATTGATTTTCACTACGTATCTAAGGTGGATATGCCTAATTTGGCGCGGTGCCTAATTCGGCGCACTAACGATATCTTACGAACTGTCGATTAGAATCATGTGATTTTGGTACCATTCGATTCGTCTCATCGTGACGAATCGAATGGTACCAAAATCATATGATTCTGATCAATAGTTCGCAAGATATTATCATTTAACCAAAATAGCCTACATATAAGATAGATATGCCTAATTGGTACAGTGCCTAATTCGGCGCACTAACGATATCTTACGAACTGTTGATCAGAATCATGTGATTTTGGTACCATTCGATTTGTCTCGTCGAGACGAATCGAATGTTACCAAAATCATACGATTTCAACTAATAGTTCACAAAATATTACATTAGAAATCTTTAATGCGCCGAATTAGGCACTGTGCTAAAATAAGACTGTGTTTTTAGATAAACTTTTAAAAAGTGATATCTTGTTATTGAATGATCGAAATTAGGTGATTTTGGCGCCATTCGATTCGTCTCGATGTGAAAAATCGAATGGCATCTAATTCTGATCGACATGGCACGTGATATGCATTGTAGAACTTAACCGCGCCGAATTAGGTATAAAAGTTAAGAATCAGAAAATTTATAAATTAGTTCTCATAACATAAAAAACTCGACTTTTAATTTTATTTTCAATATTCCAAACAAAAAAATCACCCGTATAATAAAAATATAACCCGGTCAGGTACATAATTTTATACGTAACTTAGTTAAAGATTGTACGTAAAAAATATATATATCAGATATATATATAACTATTCAAATTGTTGCAATTCATGCAGTTCTTCTACGATCCACTTTTCATAATTCCTCTCATACTTACTCGCAATCTTTTGAACTTCTTTTAACATATAAAATTCTCTCACTTCTCGTAAAAGTATTCCTAATTTATTCTGTCCTCCCCCAAAATCACCTCCGTCGCCCCAATATGAATCATTTTTTGTGTGCTCGAAAAATGGAATATTTCCAGTTGACAGTAACAAGTATTTTAAGTGCTCATGTTGGCCAAATTTGGCCATTAATGCGGTTCGCATCACATTTTCTTTAAAAATTTCTCTTGTATTTGGTATCTTATGCTCCCAATCATGACGTTTATAACGGTCATAGCATCGACCGATATTGAATGCCTCTCTGGCAGACTGTGCTTCTCGAATTTCATTACAAATTTCTTGATATTTAAACTTTTTAGCTTGGACTGTATAAACAAATAGATTAATCTCAGACAAATAAATTTTGCAAAAAAAATTAAAAAAAAAAGAATATATATATATATACAATAATTTTCTGCTGTTGGCCATTTGACACCATCAATTATAACAGGAACCGGAAAAAAATTAGTAAATTCATAGTATGGATCGCACTTGCTATAAAAATTAATGTAAGATCTTTCGGTTGACTGCTGAGCCTGCACAAAAAGAAAATCTGATTAATAATAATTAATAAAAGCAACATTAAAGGAAAATGGGACTTACTCTACATATTTCGTATAATAAGACTTCAAAAGATTCTTTAATCGTGTCTTTTTCATAAACCACAACGACGAATGACTTATCTTTATTAATTCTCCATTTTAAATGTGATTGAAAATTTGACTCACAGCATAAACGAATGACTATAACATCCAAGGTAAGTCTGTCAAAGACTTTACGAATTTTTTTAACAAATTCACAAATTTCTTTTTTATCAATTTTGAGGTCTGATGACACCATAACAACAATTTTCCACATGTTGGCCCAACAGTTTACTGCACAATCAAGGATAAATTCATACGCTTTGGTATGATCAGCAATGTTAAATGATTTGAATATTGAATGAAACCCAAATCTGTGGAATTCCTTAGCGGACCATTCGTTTGTCACATTTTCACTGAAAGAGATGAACAGCGCTAAAGATCGGATCGGCCCAGAGAAAGTAAATTCCATTGTTTTCTCCATAAGTAGCTGGTTTTTATTTGAAAAATATTCATGAGAGACTAGAATTTAATTAGTAATTTAGTATATTATACGTAGTAAATTTTATAAGAATGGATGAAATAATCACCACTATTCACGTTTGATTTGACGGATCGACCATTCGGTCTTGATATTACTTCATTATGCTTATCATATCTATCCGGTGAACTAGAAGACTGTTGATTACCGACCATTTTTGCAGGAATTTTGGAATGAACATTTAGAACAGATGCTTGTCCGGCGGTTGTTTTATATGACGTCAAAGACAATGACGTATCTGAGAGCAAACCATTACTTGATGGATAAAGGCAAAATGATCGGCCATCCAAACATATATAATATGAATAATTGACCTTGCTAAACATCCATTCAGAACTTTGATTGAAGGCTAAGTGATCTTCATAAATCATCACACCCCAAGGATCATTTTTCTTGAAATGATCAAAAAACATTATGGACAAACAAAAACTTTATTCTTCCTTTTATTTAAAAAAGTCATATCACAGTTTTCACAATAACGTCATAATCAAATTATATCATGGAATTTTATAAATTTTAATTCATTGATTGGGTTTAATGCTAATAAATCAAGCTTTAATAGTTTGATAAATTTCCTTTTAAAGTATTATACTTCCAATATTATTGAATTTTCTAAACCTGTTACGATGATACCTGTGCGCAATCTCACTTGCTAATTTTCCCGGAAGCATATCATCGTTTCAGTTCAAATTACTCTGCTCAAATTACTCAGTTCAAATTATTCAGTTCAAATTACTCACAATGTATTCTGCGGACTTAAAGTCCTTTAATTGAATTTATTTCCGGCACCTTTGGCGTGCCGGCATTCTTCCAATCACATGACCAATCGTACCTATGCTTTTCGATTTGATATAAATCTGTAGAATTCAAATAAAAGAATTTTTATTAAACTTGATCGGATACTTATTGAAATATATTTTATTTAAAGTTTTAAAACTTTGATGTAATTTGTATAAATATGCAGATTTTTTTTTTTTTTTAAAACTTTAAGCAAAGATAACTTGATGAGTACTTAGCCAAATTTAATGAATTTTTTTTTCTTATTCAAACTTTATAATTCAAACTTTATGATTCAAACTTTATGATTCAAACTTTATAATACAAACTTTATAATTCAAACTTTATAATTCAAATTTTATAATTCAAACTTTATAATACAAACTTTATAATTCAACCTTTATAATTCAACCTTTATAATTCAAACTTTATAATTCAAACTTTATAATTACCTTTATAATTCAAACTTTATAAATAGTAGAATTTGAATATAAAAATTTTTATCAATTTGGTTAGATACTTATTAAGATATCTTTACTCAAATTAAGAATTTTAACTCAGATTATATTTTCTTTAATTAATAAGTATGCAAATCTGCTTGTAATTGGTAAGAAACCGTTTTTTAAGTTTTTTTTTAAAAAAAAAATTCTTACAAAAATTCATCATAAAATAACATCTTTTCTGACTCATCCATAATTTACGTTAAACCAGTAAAACTGTATTGTATAGAAATAGACCTTGAAGATGATTATCTTTAATATCCTTATAACAATATTGGTCTAACGTAAATTATGGATGCCCCCTAATGAGTTCTTGTGTTTTCGATTTTTTTACACTAGTTCTTATTCGAATTGTTTAACAGACGACACACCATGACAATCGTGCAAACCTTTACATATATATGGTAGTTGATTTCCGAAAAAAATTCACGATCGATCATCGATAGAAATATAAATAAAGAGCAATAATTTACATTTCTTAATAAACTTTGATAGAAAATATGCCATCAAAAAATGAATCGGTTTTGAACCCAAAAACTACGAAATATGAGTTTTTAGGGCCAATTGGTGCATTTCTAATGATTACAGTACTTCCAATTCTTACTTGCGTTTTGCATTTAAGCTGTCAATTCGATGACAATCCATCTCGTGCTCTCATTATCTATCTGTCCGATATTAATAACCTTAAAATTTTATTTACTTTATCCAACATTTTGTCATTATTTGATCTAACCGCTTTTTTTGCTTGCATGATTTATTTGGCCTATTTAGTTATAATCTATTATTTAATACCAGGTCATAGGGTTGAGGGAACTCAGCTTCGTGATGGCTCAAAATTAAAATACAAAATGAATGGATTTTATAGCATGATATTAACATTATTTATAATTATTTCCATCCTAAATACTAAAGGACATGAACCTCTTTTATTCATTGATGATCATTTTATCGGTTTAATTACTTCTTCAATTATTGTGGCTTTCATCCTTTCGTTGTACGTTTATTTAGATTCATTTCAAGAAGGAAAATTATTAGCGCTTGGTGGAAATTCTGGAAATATTATTTATGATATAAGATATATATATATATTAAATTGCTTACTAAGAAATCATTTACATAATATTTCTTTTTTGATTAAAAGTTTATGATTGGTCGAGAATTGAATCCACGTATTGGATCATTCGATATTAAGTGTTTTGTGGAACTTCGACCAGGTTTAATTTGTTGGACTGTTGTAAATATAGCCATGGCCATTAAACAATATCATGAACTTGGGTATGTCACAATTGGAATGTTTTTAATCTTAATTTTTCAAGGGTGGTATTGTATTGATGCTGTTTACAATGAGGTAAATTTGTGGCAATTTCTTATTTATGCAATATTATTACTTTGAATATTTTTAAAATTTATAAATTAAATTATTTTATGTTATCACTTAAAATTTATATCAGCCTATCACTACAGATGGCTTTGGTTGGATGTTGTCATTTGGAAATTTTACATGGGTTGGGTTTTTATATACTCTTCAAGCAAGATATCTTGCTTTGCATCCTGTTCATTTATCTCGGCTCCAAATTATATTTATAATTTGTCTGCAAGCCATTGGATATGCGATATTTAGAGGTGCAAATAATGAAAAAATTATTTTAGGAATAATCCTGAAGATCCGAGAGTTAAGCGTATATTCTTTTTATCCATTCTGTTTGTTATACTTAGTTGAATAATGGAATCAATAATAATAATGTTATGGTCGTGATGAAACAGATTTAAAATATATAACAACTGAGGCTGGTTCAAGATTAATTATATCTGGATGGTGGGGAAGAGCAAGGCATATAAATTATCTTGGTTTGCTATAATTCTATGTAATTTTGTTGCTTATTTTTGTAATGATTTTGTAAGTTTATATAAATCTTGCTTCTAATATAGGCGACTAGTTAATTTCATGGGCTTGGTGTTTACTTTGTGGTAAATTAATAATATCTTAATAGATGAATTCATTTTTTTAAAAATTACAAACCATAAATAATATTTAATACTTTCAAACTTATTTAGGATTTGATGATATTTTACCATACTTTTATATTGTATATTTTGCAGTATTATTAATACATCGAGAATTTAGGGATGAAGAAAAATGTAAAAATAAATATAAAAAAGATTGGAATAGATACTGTGAAATTGTAAAGTGGAGAATTATTCCTGGTATAATTTATTTGGATTTTTTGATGTTATTCTCAAAAAATTTATTTTTTTTTATTGATTATTTTTCTTTGCTTATAAAAATTTAGGTATTTACTAAAATGAAAAATATATTTAGTTCTAAAAGATCTGCTGTGTAATTATAATTTTTAGAAATATAAAATGGTTTCAATGTAAAACTAAGTACAAATACAGAGGTTTAGCAATGAATAAAAAAATTTAGAAAGAGTTTGCTAATTAGATAATTTTTAAAAAAATAGCACAAACTTAAACTAGCATATATATATTGTGCAATCTACATTTTATATGATTGTTAACTTATAAATTTATATAAATATTGTTCGAAGCATATGATAGTAAACTCTGAGCACATGGTTGGATTTAGAGTTTAGGGTAATGTTGTTTGCCGAAATTGGTTTGAATTTATAGAAATTTTTTGCATTTGGTATTTAGTCAGTTTTAAAAAATTTTTAAAGTTTTCAAAATTTGAGCTGATGAATTATTGCTTTAAGGATTAAAGGATTTACATAATCAAAATTACAACAGAACTTAAAGCTATTTTATTATAAAGAGCAAAATATATAGTGCTCTTATGACAGATCCAGGATATAGGTGAGATTTTCCGGGTCATGTGATTAATCGATCTCCGATCTTATCTCGGAATCACGTAACCATGTCGGCTCTTT